AAGGAACAAGCAGGGGCAGAGGCCTCTGGGGAAAAGGCGGAATGGGGTGGGGCCATGGGTGGGCCGAGGGGGACTGCGAGCAGCGAGTTGGGGTGGGGCCTGGTGAGAAGAGGCGGGGCTGGGGGCTAGCCTCTCCAAGGGGAAACTTCACCCACCACCCACGCCCATGCAATACAACTGGAGGTTACAGGCAGTGGGGGATTTCCCCCTGAACGTGTGAATGAAGATGGTGGTATAGTGACTGCTCTGCCATTTCCTTCCTGCTGCCCACTGTAGAGATTATGGCCAGGATGCCACTGAGCCCCAGCTGGCAAAACAGCTTCTTGGGGCTGTGAGCAACCAAAACAGCTTGATCAGGGACCAGCCTGGGACAACAGCAGTCTCAGGATTGGGACAATCATAGATAGTTTTTTAAAGTCATTTTTGCCCCCAAGTCTTCCTTACAGGCAGAGGTGAAAGTAAGCTGGTACGCCCTGGTATGGTGTACCGGCAAGAGCTGGTGCGCCATACTGGACCGGCTTCCCCAGACGGCAATTTAAAGGGCCTGGGGCTCCCAGCAGCAGCTGGAGCCCCAGGCCCTTTAAATTGCCACCAGAGCCCCGATGCCAGAGCCCCAGGGTAGTGGCAGCAGCTGGGACCCCCGGGGCTCTGTCGGCAATTTAAAGGGCCCAGGGCTGCTGTGGTAGTGGCAGCTGGGAGCCCCAGGCCATTTAAATCACCACCGGAGCCCCTGGCCACTGCTGCTACCCCGGGGCTCTGGCAGCAGGGCTCAGGCGGAAACCTCTATTTAAAGGGCCCGAGGCTCTAAAGGCCCCGTCTCTTCTGGTTGAGGCCACGCCCCTTCCAGTCGAGACCTCGCCCCCTCCTCAGGACTCCAGTGTACTGGTAAGTCCTTTAAGTTACTTTCACCCCTGCTTACAGGAGAATTTGTGTCATTCCATTTCAGCACAGTTACATTTTTTGCCCATCAATATCACTACTTGGTGCTTAAAAATAACCCACCTTATTTGTAGCCCCAAGATGTCCCCTCCTCAGGTGAGGAAACTTGGTGTGGAGGTAAAGTTTTCCAGAACATATATTATTAATATACAGAAAGATTTCCCCCCAATACAATGACTTTTTATACAAAGCTCCCAGAGCTACGACTGCATCTCCAATATTTAGCTGAGTTGATTATTTTTGTCTTCAGCACCTTGTAGCTTGGCTGGATGATTTTTCTCTGGAGTGGATTATGTCATTTACTGGACTAGAGTCTCTACATTTTTTATATTATTGTTAATGTGATTATTTGGCTTATACTGTGTGGTTGGTATGCATGGCACATTAGACATCTAAGGAAATGAGGTTCTTTCCCCCAAGGAGTTTGCAATCTACATTATAGAGATAATAAATGAATAATTGAAATGTAAATAAAGCTTGACAACATTCCATAGACAGAGAGAGATAGTTCCCATGTACCACTCTTGTAACTAGACCATCAATATTGATCTGATTTAGCCAGCTTAAAGCCAACTGCATGTAGGGGTTCTGAATATCTACCGCTTTCAGTGCACACCAGGCCTGATTCTTAGCTGCCATAAATTGGTGTAGCACCACCAATTTCAATGGAGTTACACTTATTTACACCAGTTCAGAATCTGCACGTCTTCTGTCTTAATTTTCTGAGCCCAGCTGTGTGACAGATCCCCAAAATGTGGGAGAGTAGCAAAAATGCAGGCTCAATTGCTAGTTAACATTTTCTATAAGCCTCTGTTTTGTGACTATGTTTCTGCTGTAAATTACTGACACAATGACAAAAGGGAACAAACACCAGATTAACATGGGACTGAGGTAAAATTGGGTCTAATTGGAAGTATGTGACTGGGAGAGTTTTTAGGCCTAGCTCTGATTTCCAAGTCATGCTGACTGTGCAGATTGGGATCTGTCATATGCGGTATGAGAACACCCCCAGCTGGACAAAGACTTGATAGTCAGTAATATTCATTAATCATGGAAACCTTCAGTTCTCTGTGCAGCAACTGGGGAAAGAAAAACAAACAAGTGGGGATAGGGATTGATAAGAAGACAGTGAAGTGGATGGAGGATGGAGAGATGAGCGTCATTCCAATCACGAGGGAGGAGTACTGCAAAAGCATTCTGTATTGTCCCTTATATTTAGAAAGTAGGGGCCAAGTATAGCAGTGGTGTACAATAAACAGTGGTGAAAGTTACACAGCAGGTTTAAGTTGGACTCCTAAAATGGGTGTCATGGGGCCAAATGCTGGCCCTGTTAAGCTCAGGTGGCACAAAGTGGCCAGATTCCAGCTATAAATAGCCAGCAGGGAACTCCTCTTGTGAAGCCAGCTGCTATGTCTGCTGCCCGCTACCATTTGTCAGTGCTGGGCAGAGAACATAGCAGAGCTGATCCTCCTCTGTGTAAGGCAGTGACTCTCAACCTTTCCAGACTACTGTACCCCTTTGAGGAGTCTGATTTGTCCTTTCACCTCACTTAAAAACTACTTGCTTACAATATCAGACCTAAAAATTCCAGTGTCCCAGCACTCTATTACTGGAAAATTGCTCACTTTCTCATTGTTACCATATAGTTATAAAATAAATCAATTGAAATATAAATATTGTACTTACATTTCAGTGTCTAGTATATACAGCAGTATAAACAAGCCATTTTCTGTATGAAATGTTAGTTTGTACTGACTTCACTACTCACTAGTGCTTTTTATGTAGCCTGTTGTAAAACTAGGCAAATCTCTAGATGAGTTGATGTACCCTGTGGAAGACCTCTGGGTACCCGCAGTGGTATGCGGATCCCTGGTTGAGAACCAGTGGTGTAAGGGGACTGTTGGCCCCTAACTGAAACTTAGTTCGTGGGGCTTTTTGGTTGACCTCTCCCAGTATCAAAAGAAAGGGGAATGGCTGATGAGAAATCAAGATCCTGAGACTGACAGTCTCCAGGGCCAATGGGGAGAGGCCAAAGCTCCAGGTCAGCCTGATTGACAGGGCAGGCAGGCCAATGAGGGAGCCAGGAGCACTGGGTCCTGTCTGTGTGAACTGGAGCTGCCTGGTGCTGAGTTGGAGGCAGAGCAGCAGCATGGAGCCAGAGGAGGCGGAGCTAGAGCAGCCCAGGCCAGCTGTGCTGATGGAGAGCCAGGGTTGAGCTACCGCAGGGAGCTGTGGGCCCAGAGCTAGGGAGTGGATGTCCACTGTGCCACAAGTAACACAGGAGCCAAGTGTGGTGAGCAGCTGGGGAGAGTGAGGTTGGGCCCTGGGCAGTGAGGGCCCAGCGCAAGGAGATGTCACCAGACAAGAGGTGTTGTAGGTCGGACTTGGAGGGGGGTTGTGACGCCCAGGGGAGGGCCTACGCTGGGAAGGAGGGTCCTGCCACCTAGAGCCTGAGGGTGCATGACCGCTGCCAGAGCAGGTGTCTGATCTGACCTCTGGTATCACTGCAGCACAGCCAGGGCCTGGGACATGTGAGGAACAGACTAAACTTTCCTTATCTCCCAGAGACTGCTGTTTGTGGTTTCCCTGTGCCCACACAGCAGGGTTACTTGTTTCCTTTAACTTTTTCCATTTTTTCCCCTTACAGTTGTTTAGTAAATTGTATTTGCTTTGAACTATATGTAATGATCAGTGGTTGAGGGAAGCGTCCGGTGAGTAGAGAGTACCCCAGAGTGGTGATACCCTAGCCCAGGGATCGGCAACCTTTGGCATGCAGCCCGCCTTTGGGTAATCCCCCTGGTGGGCCGCACCGGTTTGTTTACGTGCTGCGTCTGCAGGTTAGGCCAATCACAGCTCCCACTGGCTGCGGTTCGCCGCTCCAGGCCAACGGGGGCTATGGAAAGTGGCGGCCAGCACATCGCTCAGCCCGCACCGCTTCCCGCAGCCCCCATTGGCCTGGAGCGGCGAACCGTGGCCAGTGGAAGCTGCAATTGGCCGAACCTGCAGACGCGGCAGGTAAACAAACCAGCCCGGCCTGTCAGGGGGCTTACCCTGGCGGGCTGCGTTCCAAAGGTTGCCGATCCCTGCCCTAAGAGACCACAACAAGACTGGGAGTTCAGCCTCCCAGGAATCCTGGGCCCAGCCTCGTTGAGGTTACAAGGACTCTGCTGCATGGGAGAGTGGAAGGGAAGTCCTCGAAGTCAGGCAGTCCTCCACTTAAACGGAGTGGGAACGAGGATTCAGATCCTTTCGCTAGCCAATTCCACCTGGGTAGTGTATAAGCCAAGAAAGTTCCGCACAATAGCAGGACCACCCCCCACCCCCACTTACATCTGGCATCAGGTCACATAAAGGCTATATACCAGTGGTATAACATCCCCACACGTAGGCAGCTGGCTTGGCTCTCCAGCCCATGAAGGTCTCCATTCCACACCCAGCCTTTTCAGATCCTTCCTTCAGAGCACAGTTTTATTCTTAAACTTAAAGCATCAAAACAAAGCTGTCCCTCTGCCCACCACAGACTCCAGCTTACAGAGGCTTTCCCCCTTGCCTCTTTCAGTGCTGAAAGGCGATGAGACTACCCTACTCTTCCCTTTCTGTCAATCCCCCTGCTTCAGCACTAATTGCAAGAATCCATCTCCCTCCTGCAGATCTCACCAACTGAGCTCTCAGCTCTTTATAGGGTTCACCTGATGCTCTGCCAGATGATTTTGATCATCAAAAAAGGCTGACTAGCCCCAGGCCCTTAAAGGGGCAGACCACCCTGTTACACCAAGGCTATTCTAACTAACACCAGCCACATACAGAGGTTCAGATTGCTATAATATTGCCCTGATGGCTCTTCTCTCCCTGCCGCCAAGCAGAATTGGGATTCAGGGGAGAATCTGATCTTAAATTTTATGTGCCTGGGCTACTGTTTCTCACTTGGTGTTTTTTTAATATGCAAAATTTTTTGAAGCAAATCTTTTTTTCTTTAGAGAGAATTAATTCCTTTTTAATTGCATTAATGCAAAAAAAAGCAAATAAAAGTTTTAATAAAAGTAAAGCAGCCTTTAAACTCATGCCCGTTGCAACATAATCACACCGATGGACATACATTAATAGAAATTTTAATAAAGGTACAGTCTTAATAGGATTTAAATTCATAGATGTAATAGTATAAAAGACATGTTTTTCTTCCACTAAGCAACATAACTTTTGCCCATCTTTGTTGAAATAGCCACAGCATCTGATATTGTTTCTTTCTCAACAGAAGCATACAGTATTGGATATTATAAGGAAAAAAATTAAGAATAGATGGGATATAAAGATTACAAAATTATAAATTTAATCTTTCTAGTTTATAACAATATCTATAGGCAGATAAAATGTAATGAACATTATATTTAATACTGTTTTGTTTATGTTTTGTTTCTTGAAAGAAAAGTGCTGTTTAGTTCAATCTTAAATTTAGTTAAATCGTGAAATCTTTCCACGAGGATATGCAGCCTCTGGCTGCAGTCCAAGGGAATTGCCATTGAAGGGCTCCCTTATCGCACACTGAATGCATCACCAACTTATTGGGCCTGATTCTGATCTCCCACTGTTTTTTTTCCTACCCCACTAATGTAACTCCCTCACTTCAGAGCATTTACTCCAGATTGGCAATGGGGTGTGGGAGGCTCAGCATCAGGCCAAGTGAATTTTTCAAGGGAAAAAAAAAAAATCACTAAAAATATTGACTATAAGAACTGCAGATTTTAGATCTGTTCACTAGTTCACACTGGCCTCTATGTGCAGGCAAATCAGACAAAATATACTACATCCTTTGCTTCTTTAATAAAATATAAGAAGACAGGGCAGAATTTCTTAGGGCCAGATTGCTCCCCGCCCAGTCAAACTCATGGGGGGAAGGTGTTGTTCCATGGGGGAATTTGACCCTGCCTAGAAGGAGCTGTGTGTCAGCATCCAATTTTATGGATTCCCTGCCATCTGCGTTTCCACACACAGATCCTGTGTCAATGGACTCCAGCGAAAAAGTACTATAAGGACTTCCTCTAGTTGATGCTGTCCGAGGTCCTTTCTTAAAGGTGGAAGGTTCCCCACCACCGGTAACAGGGCTGATGGGAAGATACTGTGCATCCCTTCATGTCTCTTCTCCTCCCAGCCTGCCACAGCCTAATGCAGGCTGCCTCACTGTCCACGCAGTCTTCACCCCCTTCCCAACACCAGGATTCAGTAAAAGCCTCTTGGTGGGGTCCAGTGCCATTGAGATAGCTGATTCTCCCCATTCCATGCACGGTGAGATCTCACATGTGGAAGATCCCCCTCTGGGAGCAGATGCTAGGGACGAGATCTGACCCTTAGATTATAGCTACACATTTCTCTCCATAAAGAGGGCATCTATGAAAATGGAGGTGTGATTGTCCCTGTGAGGCACACAGACCCATATCCTCAGACAGGGTAAATCAGCACAGCTTCTTTAAAGTCAGTGGAGCTGCACTGATTTACACCAGCTGATTATCAGGCCCAGAGAGTGTGCAGAAGGCTGTTGCCAGGGTGTGCACCTCATACATTTTTCTGTTAGGCCTAGGGTGACCAGATGTCCCGATTTGGGGATCTTTTTCTTATATAGGCTCCTATTACTCCCCACCCTCTGTCCCGATTTTTTACATTTGCTGTCTGGTCACCCTAGTTAGGCCCCACCTTGAACTGGCATCACTGGGGTTGAGAGCATTCAGCACGTTGCAGATTCTTGGTTTATACTTCAGTGCAGCCCTTCATCCCTGCCTTCTCTGGGAATCACTTATCATAGCTTTGCACAGTGAACAGCATTGTTTTTTCCTGCTGGTGGGGAAAAAAAAAAAAAACATCTTGTGTGTTGATGAAACTGTCCAAAGTGAATTTTCTCATCTTGTTCTGACAAGGGATAGGTGAGATTTCAGTGCTAGTTGGGTCACGCTGAGTGTCAGTGTAGTGCTGTTTGATATAGGGATAGGCCATAAAGAGCATTAGCCACTAAAATAGAAAGCTATAACTCAGATCTGGGTACCTGACATTGATCTGAAATATACCAAAGGAGCAAGGAGGCAGTCTTAATGAATGTGGCAAGGACTTTTCATAGGAGTTGCTCTTCCCACAAAGTGGTGGAAACAAACCACACTGGAATTAATTCTGAAGTGCCCCAAGGCAGCAATGATCTGAACTCAATCACATTATTGCTTTTTGCTCATTTTCAGCTTTTGTTTGGTTATGGCAGTGGCATAATAGCCCTTAAACTTGACCAGGAAAATGGGGATTGGAATGATAATGGTTAACATGCCAAATATTGCAGCAAAGGCTGCCATCACCTGGCCAAAGATGGTGAGAGGGATGATGTCGCCATAGCCCACAGTGGTTAGCGTGATCAGAGCCCACCAGAAGCAAATGTTAATGTCTGTGAAGTGCAAATCTGCCCGGTAAGAAGAATGAATACCCAGCAACTCGCTATAGAAAAAGAGAGAACCAAAGAAGAGGGTTTCAAAGGCCAGGATCATCAGCAGGAAGCAGATCTCTCGGATGATGGACTTGAGCGTGTAGGACAGGACTCTCAGGATCAGAGGGGTCTCTATTAGCTTGAATATCTTCAGGAGTTTGAGGAGGTAGACTACGCGGACAAAACCCAGCCAAAGCGCTAGGCTAGGCATTTTCTGAATCTGCTCGGCGGTGAAGAGTTCAATGTAAACTGGGAAGAGGGAGAGGAAATCAGCCACATTCAGAGGATTCCTGAGGAATTTCTTTTTGTCTGGACAGAAGAAAAATCGCATGGAAAACTCAAAGGTGAACCAGAGGACACAGAACAGCTCCAGGTGGAGCAGGTAAGGGGCCTGGTGATAATAAGGCTCATGGATGCTGTGAATTACGTTGGAATGGCCGAAAATGGTCAAGTTAGCAGCAGAGTACTCGTACTGTGCCTTAGTCTCCTCACAGAATATAATGACGATTCCAATGATGAACAGCAGAGAAATAATAGCCAGGCACTGCAGAGGGACAGAAAGGTCAAAAGTAGGATCAGGTCAGTGTGAGGGTATCACAAAACTTCAAAGCCTCACTTCACATCCAGGATTCTCAGCATCAAACATTACCTTTTCCTAGACTAACTTTTACCCAATTTCCATCTAGGAATAGATTCACACATTGAAGGTTTCTTTTTCTTTTCCATCCTTACCTGTCCAAGGCCAAGAGGGGGATCTGGGTCAAGGAAAATAATGTGAACTATTAGCATCTGGCCTTGTAGGGAAGGGGAGACATCTGACAGCTAGAGCAACATGCACAGATTCACTGAGATTGCCCTAGCACGAAGTGCTGGCTCCAGTGACTCAGCTGTTCTAGACAGACTGGAAAATGTCCTCTGCCTTCTCCAAACCTGCAGTTGCTGCCCCAAGTGCCTGTTCTGAGAGGAGCGGAATTAATGAAATGCACTTTTAACTGTACACAGCACAGTAGCAAATGCGCAGCCCTAGCATGCAGAGTAGTGGGGCACAGCAAAGGGCCATAGCCATAGCCCAGCACTAGCAGGGAGACACAACAGCATTTTAGTTACAGAAAATAAAATGAGCTGAGAGTTGGCACTTTTTTCCCCCCGATAGCACAGGCAGAAATCACCTGGGTGTTATTAAGGCCCTGGCATAAGTGTTAAGCATTAGCTCAACCATTAACTGGTTTGACTTCCGTGCTGAGGTTTAGAAAGCAGGTGACCTGGTAGAGAGCACAGGTAAAGACGAATGTTTGATTTTGAGCCACTCCAGTGAACAAACTCTTGACTGACTCTGCAGGCTTCCAAATTATATGCCTTGTATTGTTTAATAATGGGGAGATAGTAAGTCTAAAGCTGGTCAAACTCTTCTTTACAAATAACAGATTTACACTGGTGTAAATGTGGAGTAATTTTAATGAAGTCAGTGGAGTCAGCTGTAAAACTGGAGTGAGGTTAGAATCAGACCCTACATTAATTGCACATTTATCCTGTTTCTGCTTAGAGAACCTTTCATGAACTCATCCTTATTTTCAAAAATATTTGCCGAATGCTTTGGAGGAATAATTTAGAGCCTATGGGTCAGTGGTGGGCAACCTGTGGCCCGTGGGTCGTATGCGGCCCATCAGGCTAAGCTGATTGTGGGCTGCGAGACATATTGATGATGTTGACTGTCCGCAGGCACGGCCCCCGGCAGCTCCCAGTGGCCACGGTTCGCCGTTCCTGGCCAATGGGAGCGGCGGGAAGCAGCAGCCAGCACGGCCCGCCG